AGGTTTGAACATGTCACAAAAAGAAGTAAAAATGGGAGAAATGATCCACAGCACAGACAGGGTTATAGTGGCATTTGGCAGACTGAGGGGATACGTTAAGAAAAAATCACAAATAAAAGAATGAATCTGCTGAAGACAATGATGGCAATGTCAAAAATTCTAACTTTATTGTTTCATCTTACTTCTGTTTTAGCTGTATGCGCTAATATTTCTTTCAAAGGTGCATACGCAGGGAAGGCGGTGATGTACGTCACGAAAGATATGGTATATTGTGAATTTGCGCCTACTGATTTTTTCTTAACGGTGTGGTGTCAGAGTGGGTCTACATATCAAGTGTATTCAGAGCTCACTGAAAAAGAACAGAGAAAATACACTGTTTTAAATAGAAAAAGAAAACAGAAAAACCTAAAAATGTTTTCATTCTTCCTCCACTGCGCTAAAAGACCACAGATGAAACAAAAGCAAGCCTCTTTGTGTAAGAAATCCTGCAACTTAAAAAATTTTCAGACTCAATTCATGAATATTTTACACGATGTGCCAGAACTTTATCTGAACATCTGAATGTACTGGAGTCCATCAATAGCCTATCTGTCTTAACACCCCGGCCACACAGTCAGTCTCTCTCTCTCTCCCCCTTTCTTTTCCTCTAACGGCTATACACAAGGCCATCCATTCAAAGGCCTTCCTCATCCAGCCACAGCAGTCCCCTGAGGTGCCTATGTACAGACCATGCTGCCTCGGATTGAAGTGTAAGATAGGAGGAGTGGGGCTAGTTGCTTCCTCCTCTCTGATGACGAGGCTCTATAGGGCTTCCTTTGACACCCACTCTCTGCTTTGCTTTGAGTTTGATGATAAAGACTTGTTTGAGAAAAATGGTGGCAGAGGGAATTTTTAGTACTGGTACAATACTTAACACTTGTATAAGAGCCTGTATGTCTAGTTGTTGATACAAAAAAGTTGTAAAAGTATCTCTTACTAATTATGCTGCTATAGGCCTAGA